TAAATTACGAAATCACTTGTGTTCTATCTATTATATGAACATCATTGATTATTTTAAAAAGAACTTCAATAAATACATATTTTTCAAAAATTATTTTAGAAAGAATTGCAATTTATATATTAGGAAGTTTTAAAGGGCAATCGAATGAATAGGAAAGCTTAATCCGAGGTGCTTTTTGGGAACATTGAATTCCTCACGATCACTCAAGTGCTTAATATTTTTAAATGTAAAATAATTAAACTGAAATCTTAAGAAAACAAATAAATTTTCGTATGTAAACCCTGTTATATTTTTTAAAATAAATTATTTTTTAGGCAGACACTGTTGGAACTTGCTTCTATGAAATTGATTTCTCCTAAAACTTATTTATCACTATGCCACTGATAGTAATATGAGGTAGAACTATTACTGTTTCATGATTTTTTTGTTTTGTTATAAGAGCTACAATTTCTTCAAAATTGGCTGAAGATATGTTTTTGAAGTTACATCTATAATTATAATCAATATACTGCAAAACAAATACTTTTTAAGCAAGTTTACTTTTTCCAATTTTAAAATAATTTTGAACTACTGAAAAATGTTATTACATCTATGCTTTCGTAAATAGACTCCTAATATGAAAATATATAGTAATGGGAAAGATTGAGTAAAGATAAGACAGAAACATAGCAATAAGAAGCAAAGCAAAAATGTATATAAAGATTTATGACAAATATAAAAATTGCTTTTGAAGACTGATGATATAGACTATTGCTATTATTTCATAATCCTATTGCTAGTACCTAAATCATTAGATAAAAATTAAAATTATTAAAGTGAGTTTGGACTATTCTACAATTTACATTTAGCTATATATTATTTGTTGTTATTTATCTGACAATTTTCCCAACTTGTGCTGTGACAAATATTTCCAAATGATTGATTGCATGTATATATTTTTACTTTCGGATCATTAATGTATTCTTTTTCCTATGAAATTGCAAAAAAATATTCTTATTATGAACAATTAATAGTGACTAATCAGAGTTTAGAAGGATATTTGAAACATTAAATTATGCTTTAATAAATTTGCTCAGTTTACAATTGTTACTAGAAATGACTCGTATGTATTTAAATGCAATACCAATATACCTGTACATTATGCATAAAACAATTTAATACTTTGTTACCTGATGATTCAAACTTCACTTATTTACGTGCAATCTTAATGTTTGAAAAGGTGAATGTTAATAATGACAATTAATTAAAGCCAGTGAACTATTTTATTTTTTTTGTCTGAATAAAGGTATCTTTTCAGAATGGATTTGGATTATTATATCTTAAAATAGTGGGAATTGCTATCTAGAAATTAACTAAACCAGGAGAGTAGGCATAAGTTTGGTCCCCTTAATTGTCATTTTATTTGTTTGTATTTATAGAACCATTCAAGCAAATCAAAAGAAAAATTTTGTCACTCTTAAAACTTATGTAAAGAAAAATTTTTAACTTTTGAATAACGAATTCGCAACGAGGTTCATAACTTTCTGTATTATAAAACAGAATCATTTTCTTTGTATAATGTGTGAATTGTAAGGTATATAAATTTTGACATTGTTTAAAACTGTATAATTTTTAATAATGAAATGCGAAATTCAGGATTAATCACTAATATAGGAAAAAATATATAAAATAAGACTTTTTTCGAAATTTCATACTTTTTTACTGACTCTAATTGATCTTTGGATTTTTCTTTTTTAAAATTACTTAGTTTAAAATGATGAAAAAATTTTTGTAGCTCAGAATTGAAAATGTTTTGCTCATTATTAAAATATTTTGTTAAAAACATAATATTAAATTACATATAATAAATTATCTTACAATAAATTATGAGTATAATATTATCTTACAATAATTAAATGAGTTTCATACCTTTTCAAAAAAATTGTTTGATTTGCTTAAATAGTTCCAAACCTATGATGAAATATGCAAAAATTAAAATTAACACATTAACTTTCAATGGCTGTTCAGACTAAATTATTGTGGCCATATTTTACAGATGTCCACTTTGAAGATAAGGAATTTGAATCTGCGAGGGAAAAAGAATGCGGAGAGATTCAGAGAAATTAAGTTTTAACAGACAAAAAGTTTTTATGTCTGATTTAGCTACTTTAAATATTATCTGCTCTAATTAGCATATTTAAGGTTGTTCCTTTAAATCATTAGGAATAAATGTTAGATGATAATATGATGATTACATTAAAAATAATTTAGGTGTTTTTTTTTTAGTTTGTGCATTGTGCAGTAAAACTTAGGAGCTGACTTATCTTGTATTGTGTACAAAATAGATTTAGTTTCAACTATCTCCTCTTAAAATCTTCGATTTAACAATATCTCTAGTTTTTATTAAAGGAATAGTTATTTAATTTGTATATTTTTTGAAGAAAAAAAAAGCATTCTCTTTTTTTATTTTAAAAAATTAAATTTACGTTATCGCTTCTGTATATGAGAATAAGAGTTTATTTTAAAAATTGAATTTTTTTTCTTCTAGAATAACTTGAGTAATTTTGATATAATTAACTCAAAAACTAGTTACAATTATTTCCTCTACCTTTCTTTACTTTCTATTAACTTTTGAAATTTGATAATTTCATGAAATATATTTAAAAACAGCACACTGTTGATTTTAACTGAACGGTTTTTTCACTAGATCATATGCAAATATCATGCTTATATAAAAACGTTTTGCAACTTTCACCCTATCGTTCTACTGTTTGTCTATTTTTTTAGTTGTTTTCATAATTTGGTGCCTGTCTGAAAAATATATTTTTCTTGAATATGTCAAAATTAACATAATTTTTGTGTATTAAATGAACTTTAGGTAGATACTTTTTAAGTTCAAAAATATAAAATCATAAGAAGAAAGAAAAAAAATAGCATTCCGAATACTATTTATTAATAAGTTTTGATAGTATTTTAGAAAAATAGTATTTAAAGTTATAAGTTTGAGGAAACTTAAAGAATAGTGGTTCTTGAAATAAACCCTAAAATGTTTCTCTTCTGCTCTGTCATATTTTAAACTTAAGAGTTAAATACTCTTAAAAGATTCTATAAAGATTGTAAAAATAAACTAATAAAAATGTAAATTTTTTTTTTTTAACTTAGTACGCTGTCCTTAAATTGTCATATTTGTCAGCACTCATTTACTTTTTTTTAAGCAACACAATAGGAATTTATGGATGGCAACACTTTTTCCAGTTTTCGAGTGACACCAATTTTTAAAAATGATTCTGTTTCGATTGAATGGCTGGAGTTTGTTTTTCTTAAATAATTCTAACAATTGTTTTTACAGCTATTTGTATGCCTCTTTTTATGTTAGGAAAGAAAAACTAATAGAATTAAAACGCTGGAATATTTTATATAATGTGAGAATATGTGTGAACTTGTTTGCTTTAATTTAAATCTTCAGTAGGGGAATGCATTTATAAATTTTAATTATAAAATATATTTTTCCAAAACGTGTGTTGTATGTAATTCTTTTTTTTTTTTTTTAAATGTAAGTATTGTTTTCCAGCTTATNAAAAACTAATAAAATTAAAACACTAGAATATTTTATATAATGTGAGAATATGGGTGAACTCTGTGAACTTGTTTGCTTTAATTTAAGTCTTCAATAGGGGAATGCATTTATAAATTTTAATTATAAAATATATTTTTTGAAAAAGTGTGTTGTATGTAATTCTTTTTTTTTAAATGTAAGTATTGTTTTCCAGCTTATATATGTAAACATTATCTATTATATATATATGTGAACATTATCTTGACAAAATAGTTCATAATTTAACAACAGTTGCCCTTCACGATTGGAAAACTTATGGTGAAATGAGGAGCTTAGCTTTATATAAGTATCGCTTAGAAGCTGTCATTGCCCACCTTTCTAGTCAAAATTTAGAACAGGTTTGTTTTAAAATTTCAACATTTTTTATGCTTAAATCGTTATTTTAGGGTTTAGATGTTCTTGAAATTATGAGGAATACTCATTTAAAATTTGTATCCAAACTCTCTCTCTACCGCTACGATTTCTATAATCAGGTGAAGCTTCTTCACTATTTCAATGTACACATTATTTAATCATTTCATTATTCATCTTAATCTTGAATTAATGTAACATTTTCTTAAGAGTTATAGTCATCATTATAACTCTATTTTACATATTTTATTTTATATCCGTCGTTTAACAGCCGACCCAATTTTCTGTTTATGACTGCTAATGTTCAACTCCATAGCATTGTAATTTTAAACCAATGCAGAAGACAAGGAAACTCCTAGATCAGTACCCACAGAGGTATTGATTTGTTAAGGGAACACAGTATTATTCCATATGTGTACTTGAATATTGTATAATGCTTCAAAAAAGCATACCAGAAGCATTTCACTCAATAAAACATATTGATGATCCATCGAAAAATGTCTACTGTTTTTTATATTTTAATAATAACATGAATGTTAAATACTTTCAATAGCATTTACACATATTGAATCATTTCTATAAAAAAATGTAAGCAAATTTTTGTGAATAAGAAGTCACGAAAATTTGTTTTGATGTCATGAATTTTTTTTCCTGGGACCTGGTGAACACCTTGTAGAGTTAGTAAATGTTAGCAGTTGTTGTTCGCAAGCACTTACAATATTTTTTTAATTTTAAGTCAGAATGTTTTTTTATAAGAAATAGTAGCTTAACATTTATATACAGTACACTCTTGATGTCTCAAAGTTGAAGGGACACTTAAGAATTTTCGAGATAGCGAGTTTTCACGATAGCAAGTTAGGAAATGTTCTAAAAAGTAGAAAAATATATTCTAAAATATGACTTTAAAAAGTAGAATCACGAAACATCAGAATAACTACTAATACATTTTGATGTTATGATAGTTGACTAAAAGTCTTAATACACCAATAATAATTTTATTTTTAAATGTAAGACAAAATAATTATGCACTAGATAGAAAATAATGGGCTTACCTTGTGATTCATTTTTTATTTCAAAAAAAGTCCACATAACAAGGTTTTATAATGAACTCTTCGACATAAGAATTCAAATTAACATTAGGTGGATATGTGATGCATATCTACCAACTCTACTGGATTTTGCCAGTTTCTCCTGCTCTACTAGTTTCATTAAAATTGTTCTTCTTTTTGTACATTTTAGAAAAATACATAAAATTGAGAAAGTTTCCTAAAAAAATCCCTATTGAATTTTTGTACAGACTATTGTTTGAATACTTAAATAAGTATTCCTAATACATAATGAAGCGAATCTCATTTAAAGAAATCAGTTCAAAGCTTTTACATTAAATATAAAATCTTTTAACTATCTTTAATGAATTAAATGCACTTTACTATTTGAAATTCTGAGTAAACATAATATTTCAAGTTCATTTAATGTAAATCATATCTGGAAAATTTTGCAGTTTTACTACGTTGATGACTATAAAATTTTCTAAGTGTAAAATATTTAGTACTTTATGCAACAATTACCATGAAATTTATATTGTGTCGTAAAATCTGCTGGATTTTTTCCTACTCATGTAGGCAGCTATGATAATACTAAGAAAGAATTTTTTTTGTTGACATAACGAGGTTATCGAAAGTATACGGTATATAGAATGAATGTCTAGGATTCACTCAAATGTTATTTTTTTCTATAACTCGACAATGTTCTGCTTGGGGTGTTGACTTAAATGTGAAGCTGGTTGATGACATAGTCTTTATTAGTGGCAATGCTGTTGATGTTATTCAAGGACAAATAAAATTTTAACTACACTTGTTACATTCTTTAATAACTTAATATGAAGCAAAAAAAACTGAACTCAGTGGCACGACAGCCCATAGAGGGCCAAGGCCTACTGTGCCCATCTCAGTTTTCTTGACCTAGGACTCTGGGTTGCAGGAGCAGATGTTCCGCTTTAGGTGGTCAGTCGAACGTGGAAAGCCCGGTGTTTAGTTCCCAAGCATGCTTGGTACTCACAGAGCCGTAACTTCACTCCTCGGGGCCCTGGGGCAAACATTTTCAAAAACTTTCAGTTCATGACAAAATTTCAGCGAAACCGATTAATCCTGAGAAATTAAATTTTGAAGAAGTCGTACTTATAAAACTCGATTTCTCATAAACTAATGCACTATTCAACCAATTTCGCTCAAATTTGTATTTTCCATGTGGAATTAGATACTTTAAAATGATACAAAAAAAAAAAAAACTGTATGCCTTACGATTCAAAAGTTTTCAGAATATTATTGTCCCAAAGGGGACGGATCGTTAAGACACGGTTCCCAGCAGATCACCGAAGTCAAGCATCACTGGCTGCAGTCAGTGTGCAGATGGGTGACCACTTGGGTCAGTCTGCGTAGGGACCGAGGGTGTGCGTTATTGGTCTTCGTTAAACTGATCTACGATAAAGTGCTCGACTTCGGGTG